GGGGGACAGTACATGAGACAATACAGTAACAACATTATACGAGGGGTTCGAGGGCCCTGCTCTTTCAAACTTATAATCTAGAAGGGAGGGGATAGTGGTACAGGAGAAAGTGGCTGTGGGGGATGGAGTGGTGGAGGAGTGGAGGAAAGCGGCTTTTAGGTGATGGTGGGGTAGGCTTCCCTGAAGAGATGGGTTTTCAGGGTGCGCCTAAAGGTGAGGAGGGCAGGTGACAGTCTGATGGATTGGAGTAGTGAGTTCCAGAGAATGGGGGAAGTCCTGGAGAAGTCCTGCAGTCGGGCGTGGGAGGAGGAGATTAGGGAGCTAGAAAGTAGGAGGTCTTGTGAGGAGCGAAGAGTACGGGTAGGGTGGTATTTGGGTATCAGGTCGGTAAGGTAGTTTGGGGCAGTGTTATGAATGGCTTTGTACGTCAATGTTAGTAGTTTGAATTTAACGCGTCGGGCAATCGGAAGCCAATGGAGGGAATGACAGGGGGGTGGCAGATGCGGAGCGGTTGGTAAGGTGGATGAGTCTGGCCGCTGAGTTCAGGATAGACTGAAGTGGGGATAGTCTGTGATGAGGTAGGCCGTTGAGGAGGGAGTTGCAGTAGTTGAGTCGTGAGATAATAAGGGGGTGAATGAGTTGTTTAGTAGTGTCTGGGGTTAGGAATGTACGTATTTTGGAGATGTTGCGGAGGTGGAGCCTGCATGAGTTTGCCAGCGATTGGACATGGGGTTGGAAGGACAGATTTGAGTCTAGAGTGACACCTAGGACTTTGGCTCGCGGGGTGGGACTGATGGTGGCGTTGTTGATCGTGATGGAGAGGGTTGGGGGCGCGGGCTGGGGGGAAAATTAGGAGCTCTGTTTTGGAAAGGTTTAATTTGAGGAAGTGGAGTGACCTCCAGTCTTTCGTTCAGTAGGCAGGTGATTCGGGCGGAGACTGAAGGGGTGAGGCAAAGGGTAGAGAGGTAGATTTGCGTGTCATCGGCGTAGAGGTGGTAGTTGAAGCCGTAGGAGTGTATCAGTTGGCCAAGAGAGGAGGTGTAGATGGAGAAGAGGGGCCCAAGGACAGAGCCTTGGGGGACCCCAACGGAGAGAGGGAGGTGGCAGCATTATAGGTAACGCTGAAGGAGCGTTGGGATAGATAGGAGGAGAGCCAGGAGTCTCTGATGCCAAGGGAGTATAGTTTGAGGAGGGGGTGGTCAACTGTGTCGAAGGCCGCGGAGCGGTCAAGGAGTAGGAGGACTGAGTAGTGGCCATTAGCTTTGGCGGTTAGCAGGTCATTAGTGATTTTGAGTAGGGCGGTTTCGGTGGAGTGTAGGGGACGGAAGCCAGACTGTAGTGGATCGAGGAGGTTGTCATTTAGGTGGGAGCTTAGGCGATTGTAGACTAAGCGCTCGAGGAGTTTGGATAAAAACAGATGTACTCTTGATGTCATCTTGGACAAAACTAGTAGGGCAGAGACGGAACACACGCCACTGCGCATGCATGATCCTGCTGTGGCCTTTTTGGATTCTGGAACATAAATTGGTTGTTTTTATATGAAGTGCCTGGTTGCCATCTTCTGATTGTAAGTGCATTTATCACGTTAAATTGGTGTTTTAATCAGGATTACACTATGGAGAGCGTCTTTTCTTCTTCATGATACTATGTCCAACTGAGTATGTATGCACAGCGATCTGATATAATGCAGCAGTATCATCGTTTGACGTGGTTTTGAGGAAAGCTGGATATCTTGGATTGATACACAAGTGCTTGTTGACCACTCTTAATTGGGGGTCATATGATTCTGGTAAGCCTCCCTCTGTTGTACACTGAGGTGCTGTGTGGTGTATCGTTAAGAAGTCTAGTGGCGTTTGGTATCCACACTCTCATTTCTCTCATAATCGAAGAAGCACTGAATTCAGTGTTTGGCTTCACATTTGGATTCATTTGTTTTATTTTTTTCAATTTGAGGTGGCACATAAGAGTTTAATATATTTGCATTGCACTACTGTGCACTATATATGTACATTTTAATTTATCCTAGCACTGCACTATTGTTTTTTGATCTTGCCTCCATACCCCCATCAAGAGCCCTCAGCCTTGATGCAAGCAGTGAGCTGGCTCTCTGAATTATTTAAGTATTAAAATGCTGTGATGGTTGGATGTCAGTCTGGAGCGGTAGGCATGTATTTGCATTCAGACCCCCTTAGGTAAAGCGAATATGTGATGCTGAGACTCCATTATTGAAAGGACTGAAATCCAGTGAATGAAAGAGGTGGGCCAATGACAGGCTGGGGAGGAAAGGACTAGATGATGCTGAATCACCTGCACTGAGGTGAGGTGAGATCAGCTTCTAATGTACATTCTGAGAAGCGCACAGTGTGCAGAGAATTAGGAGTAGGCATTTCCAAGATAGGAGCGTGAAGGCAAGGCTTCAGCTTTAATCTTTTGCACATGGGATTTTGAATGATTTACTAGCAAAAAAAAAAAAAACACCACATTGTATATACACTATATTGCCAAACGTTTTGGGACACCCCTCCAAATCATTGGATTCAGGTGTTCCAATCACCTCCATGGCCTCTGGTATATAAAATCAAGCACCTAGGAATGCAGACTGCTTCTACAAACATTTGTAAAAGAATGGGTCGCTCTCAGGAGCTCAGTGAATACAAGCATGGTACCGTGATAGGTTGCCACCTGTGCAATAAGTCCATCCCTGAAATTTCCTTGCTACTAAATATTCAACGGTCAACTGTTAGTGGTATTATAACAAAGTGGAAGCAACTGGGAACAACAGCAACTCAGCCACCAAGTGGTAGACCACGTAAAATGATTGCCAGACAGAGTAGTACTTGCCTGACTGCATTGTGCCAAGTGTAAATTTTGGTGGAGGGGGGATTATGGCGTGGGGTTGTTTTTCAGGGGTTGGGCTTGGCCCCTTAGTTCCAGTGCAGGGAACTCTTTTAAGGCATTAAAAATTCCCATAGACACACTCCTAAACCTTGTGGACAGCGTTCCCAGAAGAGTTGAAGCTGTTATAGCTGCAAAGGGTGGGCCAACTCAATATTGAACCTTACGGACTCAGGCTGGGATGTCATTAAAGTTCATGTGTGTGTAAAGGCAGGCGTCCCAATACTTTTGGCAATATAGTAGTGTATTTTTTTTTGTAGCAGAAGCCCTGGAGAATAAAATGGTGACATTTGCAATATTGTATATGTGTATGTATGTGTATATAAATGTCCAAGCGCTAAACATGGCACCATGTTTACATGCTTTTTTTTTTTTTTTCTTCCTTTTTACCTGCAGTCTTACCATGATTTTGCCACGTTTAGGGTGCATTTATTTAATTATATTATAGCCCATGTGACTCAATCAAAACCGCAACATGTGCAATTATGCTTCCTTTTCAATGCATTTCAGTTTGTGCAAACTGCATTGGTGTAAACCAGGCTTAAAATGCATTGAAAATGCAGCAGAAATGCACATGTGTTTTGATGCATTTTTAATCTGCCCAGCAAGTTGTCCAAAAGAAGAAAAAAAAAAAAAGCAAAACGTATAAGTGTCCATGTATAGAAAATTGCAAAACGCACTGCAAAAAAGTTTGCGTGTTTTGAACATTTTTTTTTATGCCCATCTTGTTGCTGGGCAGATTAAAAACACATACCAAAACGTGCATTTTTGCTGTGTTTTGCAATGCATTTTAGGCCTGGTTTACACCAAGGCAGTTTTGAGTTTGTCTGTTTTTGCGCGTGCATTTTTGAAAGGGTTTTTTTTTGTGGACAAATTATTGCTGGCAGATTAAAAATGCATCAAAAACTTGTGAAATGCATCAAACGCACTACATCCTGGACTGAAGGCGCCATTCCACGAGCGTGCTCAATTTTAAAACCTGGCATGTTGGGTATTTACTTACTCACCGTAACATCATCTTTCATATTTTACGAAACAATTGGGTATTAATATTGTGGTTTTTCTTTTTTAATCATTAAAGTGTATTTTTTTTTCCAAAAAATATATATTAATTTTTAAACGTCAATTTCGGTTTTGGGCCAAGTGCATTCTGGGCCGCCCTAGCAACTAATCACCTTCGGGTTAATACAGTTCATTTGTCCAGCTCCTTCTCCCGCCATCCATCCTGAGCTGTGCTGCCTTCCACTGTGTACTGAGAATGACCGTAGCGGAGGAGGCTGGGGGAAGAGGCGGGACACGCTTTCAGTCCAGAACTGTGCTGCCTTCTACTCTTCTGTACAGAGGTAGGATACTGCTTGGGACAGTGCTATGGGAGGGAAGGGGGGAGGCAAAAGGCATTTCTTGGGTGGGGGGGCAGAGGTCAGAGTGTCCTCTGCCCCTCCCTTTCCCCCATAGCAGTGACCTCTAGCCCCACCCCCCATTCCCCCACCAGGAGTGTCCTCTCCAATTTTCAGCTTTCAGTGTTGTCGCACTTTGTATGACAATTGTACGGTTGCGCAACACTGTTACCCATACAAATTTTTTTTCAATTACCATGGTATATATATGACAATCAATGTACTGATGGCCAATCTTTCTTGAGGCCTGAAAACACCAGGATAGTATAAATACCCCTGAAATGTCCCCATTTTCGAAAATCGACAGTCCAAGGTATTTATTAAGAGGCACGATGAGTTTTTTTGAAGTTGTGATTTTATGTTTTTATTTATTTTTTATTAAATTAATTTTCCAAAAAATTGTCTTCCCTTTTTTTAACATATTATCACAAGTCCAGTACAGCTTAATGGTATAACTGGTGTGGCGATGGGACACTGACTTTACAGTATGTGAAAGATAAAAAAAAAATTTTTATATTACATTTTTTTTTCTTTAACCACCTCCTACCCACCATATAGTCCAATGACGGGCACAAGGTGGTTCTCTCGTTCTGGGAGGACGTCATATGACGTCCTCCCATTCTAACCGTGCACGCGCAGCTCCAGGAGCGCGCGGCGATCGGCAGTGCGCTGTGTCCCTTGAACACAGCGGATCACCGATCCACGGAAAGAGCCGAAGATGTCGGCTCGGTCATGTGATCAGCTGTGTCCAATCACAGCTGATCACATGTAAACAGGTAAATGCCGGTTATCAGCATTTCTCTCCTCACGCTGACAGCTCGTGTGGAGAGCAGAGCCGGAAATCGGCAATCCTCGGAGGGGACATGTACACAGATCATCAGAGCACTGATGATCAGTGTGCCCTGATGATCTGTGTAGCCCCAGCAGTGCCAGCTCTCAGTGCTCATCCAAACCACCTGCCAGTGCCCATCAGTGCCACATCAATGCCACATATCAGTGCCTACCAGTGCACATCAATGCCACATATCAGTGCCCATCTGAGCTGCCTTTCAGTGCCACCTATCAGTGCAAGTCAGTGCCACCTATCAGTGCCCGTCAGTGCTGCCTATGAGTGTTTGCCTAACAGTGCCAGTCAGTGCCATATATCAGTGCCGCCTTTCAGTGCCCATCAGTGATGTCTGTCAGTGCCACCTACCAGTGCCTCCTATCAGTGTCCATTAGTGTAGCCTATCGGTGCCCCTCACTGCAGCCTCATTAGCGCACATCAGTGAAGGAGAAAAATCACTTATTTCCAAAAATTTTATAACAAAAACTAAAATGTTTTTTTCTTAAACATTTTCAGTGGTTTATGGTTTAAGAAAAAATAAAAAACCCAGAGGTGATTAAATACCACCAGAATAAAGCTCTATCTGTCACAAAAAAATGATAAAAATTTCATATGGGTACAGTGTTGCATGACCGTGCAATTGTCATTCATAGTGTGACAGCATTAAAAGCTGGAAATTAGCCTGGGCAGGAAGGGGGTATAAGTGCCCTGTAGGCTAGTTGTTAAGACACTGTTACCAGAGCAACACAGTGTTACCACAGTAACACTGAACTACTCTGGGCAAGTGGTCAGGATATTTTTTACACATTGATTGCTAATACAAATCTATTTCATTGATATTTGCAACCATTGTTACTGAATGAAACTGATTCATTCAGTCTTTTGTTGTGATTAGCTGTAATTGGGCAAAGCTCATCACATGATACAGATGGGCTGTGATTTGCCCTGTCTGTACCATGTGACTGCTTTGACCAATCACAGCAAACAACACAATTGTATACAATGGATGGCATGAAAGGAAGCCATCCATTGCATACAGTTGCCATGTGATTTGCTGTGATTGACCACATGACACTGGCAACAGGCCACTGTAGTGATCGGTCACCATGGACACAGCCAGTGACAGATCGCGCTGTTACGTGGCCCCTTCTGACAGGACGTCATATGACGCCCACTAAGTGTCCAGCCCGGCCTATAGCAGATTGATGGTAGGACACTCCTGAGTGGGCATCATATGACGTCCTGTCAGAAGGTGCCACTCACATGTTGAAATACCTGCCTTTGGACAATCCTCTATTGTCCTCCTGGAGCAGCTGAAAGCTAGCATTTCCTCTTCGCCCTCCCACCAGTGTACAGCTGCTGCAGGAGGAAATTCCAGGGAATAAGTTCTAGTAAATGCCTCCGCCGCTACCCCTCCTGTCCTTGTTCCTCCTTTTTTTTTTTTCCTGCTGCTCTGCTCCTCCCCCAAGTGCTCCCATTTTTAAAAGGGCTCATTTAAAAAAAAATAAATTGGCAAAAATAATAAAATTGTAAAAAATAAAAACTAACACCAACCTTTGCCCTACTGACTAACGCTGTTCATTTTTAAGATAGGCCAAGTTTGTATTTTTACAGTGGCATTTGTTTTATTATATATTTCTGCGTCTACCTTACTATTTTTTTTTTTTTTTTAAAGTTGCGCTTAACCACGGTGATCTTTGATCTTTCATGTTCCGGTAGATCTCCACCTCTGAAAGGTTGGCTACCCCTGCTTTACAGAATTGAAGTTGTATCTGGACCTTTTAGCAGTAGTGTGGTGCGTCAGCTCACCTTTTTGCTACATTACACTACAAGCTATAAAATCTCATATGAGGAAAGAACAGAGGGCGCACAGGCCTAGTGCATTACCATAAAAAATGTTTAATAAAAAATGAAGTAGGTGTTGTACTCACAAATGACAATGTAGTCAAGGCACATCATAAAGAACAGCTGGGTCAACACCGCGCTGAGTAACAGTCCGCAATAGGGAGAGTAGACATCCAATAGGCTGTGTTTGCTGGTTCTTTATACAATCTCATAGCCAGGAGTGCAGATTGTTCTATCTGTGCTAAACACGGGCTAAATGAGAGAAACCTCTCCAACCTACCTGTGCATGGCTACCTTTTTACTTTTACAGATGGAAACAAACGGATACTTAAAGCCTGCTTAAATTGCAGCAAAACATGAGTTTGGGTGCTATGCATTCTTAATTGCATGACAAATGCTGTGCAGTTTTGTCGCAATTGTCACACAGCAAATCACATGTGAAACCGCACAGGAGCTGCTTTTGGTGCATTTGCGATGCTGCAACACATACTTGTAATAATATTTGTGTTTCTCTTTTAAACCGGCCACCTTCAACAGTGGTGACACCTTATGCCTTGAGCTTGCAAAAGTTGTGTGTTTTTTTTTTTTTTTTTTTTTTTTGCAAGATTCCACCTCCACAATCTATCAAAGACGACCCCACCTTTTTTCTACCTAGAGACCATTTCTTATTCTGTCACATCTGCCTGGATATCTTGGCACTTGTTTTTCTTGTCACTTCCTACAGTTGCATATACTCTTGTGTTCAAATCGCAACCCATGAGAGGGCTACAAAGTTGAGCAGCTTTAAAGTCTCTCCTTTGATGATTTTGAGGACAGTATCCATTTACTTATCCCCCTCCCCCCCACCACCTTTTCCCATGGGTAGTCAAATAGTACAAATAGTTTAATGGGTTCCTGGGGGAACAGATGTCCCTTTTTTTTAAAAAAAAGGCAAGCAGTGTTAATTATGTTCTTTACTGTAAATCGATTATGTGAGTGCAGGAAACTCATGCTGTCTTCAAAACTTGTAATTATTTCGAGGGACACCGGTCTCAAACCATTACCCTCTTACTATTCCGCATGTGCTCAGTGTCACTATCCTTGCCCTTAAAAATAAACCCGTTTTTCTTGCAGCATGATCAGATAGGTTGGGTTGCCAAGAATGTATATGAAACATTTGTTCTGGAGTTCGTATTGTCAACTGTTCATGTCCTTCCTCCACACTCCGAGGTTCCCAAAACACTAGCACAGTTTATGGAAGATGGCTGCACATCCATGTTTTGGTCACTGGTGATTTCAGTGAATACAGTGCTGTGAAAGAGTATTTGCCCCTTCCTGGTTTTTTTTGCGTATTTATCACACTTAAATGATTCAGTTCATCAAATACATTTTATTACACAAAGATAACCCAAGTAAATACAAAATGCATTTTTTTAAATGATGATTGAGTTTATTAAGGGGAAAAAAAGCAGTCTAAACCTGCCTGGCCCTAATGTGAAAAAGTAATTGCCCCCTAAACATAATGCGTGGTTGTGCCACCCTTGGCTGCAAGAACTTCCAAGCGTTTACGATAACTGGCAATGAGTCTTTTTCACACTGCTGTGGAGGAATTTTGGCCTACTCTTCTTAGCAGAATTGTTTTAATTCAGCCACATTGGAGGGTTTTCGAGCATGAATGGTCTGTTTATGGTCATGCCACAGCATCCCAATCAGATTAAAGTTTGGACTTTGACAAGGCCACTCAAAAACCTTAACTTTTTTTTTTTTTTGGAGTTTTTTTTTTTTTTTTAGCAATTTAGAGGTGGACTTGCTGGTGTGTTTAGGATCATTGTCCTGCCGCATAACCCAACTGAGCTTGAGATGACGAACTGATGGTCGGCCATTGTCCTTCAGGATTTTGTGGTGGATGGCATAATTCATGGTTCCATCAATTCATGGCAAGTTATCCAGGACCTGAAGCTGCAAAGCAGCCCCAGACCATCACACTACCACCACCATGTGTAACTGATGGTATGATGTTTTTTCATTAAATGCTGTGTACTGTTGTGGGTTTAGTAACACTTTAAAATCAACAATCAGTCTGTATATGCAGTAAAGCATACTTGATATACTCACTGTGGAACCTAAGGGGTTAATCTGCATTGTGTAAAAAGGCAGTTTGATCCTTTCTTCTCTGCCCCTCCTCTTGTTCAAATATCCACGTCTTATCTCCTAAGACAACGGAGTATGTGCATGTGGCTACAGGTTCAGTCTAAGTGTGTATTGCTAGATAGGTTTTTTTGTTTTCTTGGGAAAGTGCATGTAAGCAGCACAGGGCCAGTCAGCTCATTCCAGACAGAGGGTCAGGGGTCCTGCATCTTTCTAGAGCAGAAAGAAAACTCCTCCTACAAGCTTTAACCAGTGCTCTGCTGAAGTCACAAGACTGCTCTAACTGCTGACGAGAAAAGGTATTTAGCAGTTCATATTTTCTAAAATAATTGCACTTCCATGTTCGGTGTACTGTGGGAGACCAGATATAGTGAATGCAGGGTCTTGGGTTTAGTAACACTTTAAGCCAGATGTAACGGGATGCACACCTCATAAAAAGTTTAACTTGTCTCATCAGTCCACAGAATATTTGCCCAAAAGTCTTTGATAATAAAGATTTTTTTTTTTTGTCAAATGTTTATGGTCAACAGTGGCTTTCACCTTGAAACTCTCCCATGGATGCCATTTTTGCCAACTCTTTCTTACTGTTGAATAAAGAATACTGACTTTAACTGAGGCATGTGAGGCCTGCAGTTCTTTAGATGTTCTGGGTTCTTTTATGACCTCCTGGTTGAGGAGAAGTTGTGCTTTTGGAGTAATTTTGTTAGGCTTGCCACTCCTGGACTTCCAGGTTTTCTACATTTGTGGATAATGGCTCTCACCAAGGTTTGCTAGTTACAAAGCCTTAGAAATGGCTTTGTAACCCTTTCCAGACTAAGGGCTCGTTCACACTAGGCTGTTTTGCCAACGCTTGCCAAACGCCCCTATAGCGTTTGGCAAGCGTTGGTCCGGTGTTTGCGGAGCGTTTTTAACGCTCGGCAAACGCTCCACAAACGCCACATGCACGGTTTAGCGGCGGTTGCTAGGCATTTGCCGAGCGTTAATAACGCCCCACAAACGCCTATAATGCATTTGAGTGGTGTTACCGCTCCGCAAACACCCCGCAACCGCACCGCAAACGCCGGCCGGGAGTTTGCGGAGCGGCACCATAGATTAGAATAGGAGGCTTCAAAGCCTCCTGACTCGACCAGAGGCGTCCGTTTTGCCGCGACGCAACGCGACGTGACGCAAACGCTCCTGTTAGAACAGCACCATGTGCTGTAATGTGCAGAATTGGCAGAGGCATTTGGGAAGCGGTAAAAACGCTTCCCAAACGCCTCTCTGCCGCCTGCACACAAGGCTAGTGTGAACGTAGCCTAATACATGTCAGTTCATTTTGTTGCTTATCTGTTCTTGAATTTCTTTAGATCGCGGCATGATGTGTTGCTTTTTAAGATCTTTTAGCATGTTTCACTTTGCCAGATAGCTTTTATTCAAGTGATTTCTTGATTCAACAGATTTGTACACAACATGTACACTGCAGCTGATAAACT